CATACCTGGAACCTAACCTGCTTACAACAGGGCCCTCCTGTACACAGTAGCCTGGAACCTAACCGCTGTACAACGGGCCCCCGTAACATCAGTACCGGAACCTAACCTGCTGTACAAGCGGGGCCCTCCTGACGCAGTAGCCTGAACCTAACCTGCTGTGCAAGCAGGGCCCCCTTACAGCAACCCGGAACCTCCCCGCTACCAGCAGGGCCCCCCTGAAACTACCCCGGGGAACCTAACCGCTTACAAGCAGGGCCCCCTGTACAGGGGAGCCCGGAACCTAACCTGCTGTACAAGCAGGCCCCCTGTACAGGGGTAGCCCAACCCTAACCTCGTACAAGCGGGGCCCCCCTGACAGCAGTACCCGGGAACCCTAACCTCTGTACAAGCGGACCCTCCTGTACGGGCGGTAGCCCGGGAACCTAACCTGCTGAAAACAACAGACCCCCCATGTACATGGTACCCGGGAACCCTAACCTGCTGTACAACGGGACCCTCCTGTACACGTAGCCCGGAACCAAACCGCTGTACAACGGGCCCCTCCTGTACAGCTGTAGCCAGGAACCTAACCCTGTACAACAGGCCCTCCTGTACAGCGTACCCCGGAACCTAACCCTGTAAAAGCGGACCCTCTGTACAGTGGTCCCCCGGGAACCAAACCCTCGTAAAGCAGGACCCTCTTTAACGGGAAGGGAAACAAAACCGCTGTACAAGCGGGGCCCCCTGAAAGGGGTACCCCCGGAACCAACCTGCTGTACAAGCGGACCCTCCTGTACAGCATAGCCCGGGCCAAAACCCCCAAGCGGCCCCTCCTGTACGGGGGGGTAACCCGGAACCTAACCGCTGAAACGCAGACCCTCCTGTACAGCAGTCCCCGGAACCTAACCGCTGTACAAGCAGGACCCTCCTGACGCAGTACCCCCGGAAAACCTAACCGCTGACAACGGACCCGCCTGTATATTTTTTAAAGGGATAAAGCCCTTTTTAATGGATCAAAAAAACTTTTAAGGGAGTCAAGAATTTTTAAAGGAGTCAAAGAACCTTTTAAGGAGTCGAAAACCTTTTAAGGAGTCGAAGAGGTTTTTTTTAAAGGGTTAGGAACTAACCTGTCCTTAAACCAAAGATAGTATTTAAAAAAAAAATAAATAGTGGAAGGAATGTGAACTGTCACCTTTAATACCCTACCAACGTCATCCTTGACTTACCCGGGCCAACTGTCACCTTTGTACAACCCGCCCAACGTCCCCTTTGTACATCCCCGGGCCAACTGTCATCCTTGACTACCCGGCCAACTGTCATCCTGTACATACCCGGCCACTGTCCCCTTTGACATCCCCTGGCCAACTGTACCTTGTACTACCCGGCCAACGTCATCCTTTACAACCCGGCCAACTGTCATCCTTGTACATCCCCTGGCCAACGCACCTTGTACATACCCGGGCCCAAAACGCCCATCCTTGTACATACCCTGGCCAACTGTCATCCTTGTACATACCCTGGCCAACTGTCATCCTTGTACATACCCTGGCCAACTGTCATCCTTGTACATACCCTGGCCAACTGTCATCCTTGTACATACCCTGGCCAACTGTCATCCTTGTACATACCCTGGCCAACTGTCATCCTTGTACATACCCTGGCCAACTGTCATCCTTGTACATACCCTGGCCAACTGTCATCCTTTACATACCCTGGCCAATTTTTCCCTTGTACATACCCGGGCCCAAAAAGCACCTTTACATACCCTGGCCAACTGTCATCCTTGTACATACCCTGGCCAACTGTCATCCTTGTACATACCCTGGCCAACTGTCATCCTTGTACATACCCTGGCCAACTTCATCTTGTACATACCCCCCAACTGTCTCCTTGTAATCCCTGCCAACTGTCACCTTGTACATACCCGGGCCAACGTCATCCTTGTACATCCCCGGGCCAACTGTCATCCTTTTGACATACCCGGGCCAACTGTCACCTTGGGACATACCCGGCCAACTGTCACCCTTTGTACAACCCGGCCAACGCATCCTTTGTACATACCCTGCCAACTGTCATCCTGACATACCCGGCCCAACGTCATCCTTTTACATACCCGGCCAAACGTAAACCTTGTACTACCCGGGCCCCAACGTCATCCTTGTACAACCCTGGCCAACGTCATCTTGTACATACCCGGGCCCAACGCACCCTTTGTACATACCCTGGCCAACTGTCATCCTTGTCATACCCGGGCCCAACTGTCACCTTGTACATACCGGGCCAACTGCACCTTTGACATACCCTGACCAACTGTCACCTTTACATACCCTGGCCACTGTCATCCTTGTACATACCCTGGCCAACTTCACCTTTGTAAACCCGACCAACTGTCATCCTGTACTACCCGGGCCCACGTCATCCTTGTACTACCCTACCAACGTCTCCTTGTACAACCCTGGCCAACTGTCACCTTGTACATACCCGGGCCAACTGTCATCCTTGTACAACCCTACCAACTGTCATCCTTGTACAAACCCGGGCCCAACGTCATCCTTGTACAACCCGGGCCAACTGTCATCCTGTACAAAAACCCTGGCCAACTGTCATCCTTGTACAACCCGGGCCAAACCCTGTCACCCTTTGTACATACCCTGCCCAACTGCACCTTGTACTACCCTGGCCAAGTCACCCTTTTACAACCCTGGCCAACTGTCACCTTGTACATCCCCCGGGCCAAACTGTTATCCTTGTACATACTCGCAAACTGCTCCTTGTCATACCCTGGCCAACTATCTTTCCCCTTGTAAAACCCCGGGCCAACGTCACCTTTCACTACCCTGGCCAACGTCATCCTTATACATACCCTGCCAACTGTCATCGTGTACAACCCTGGCCACGGGGTACCTTTGCACATACCATCCAACTGTCTTTCTTGTACAACCATGGTAAACTGTCATCCTGTACATACCCGGGCCCAACTGTCACCTTGTACATACCAGGCCAACTGTCATCTGTACAACCCTCCCAAAACCATCCTTGTACATCCCTCCCAACTGTATCCTTGACATACCCGCCCAACTGTAATCCTTGTACATCCCGGCCAACTGTTACCCTTTGTACTCCCTGGCCAACGTCACCCTTTGTAATCCCCTGACCAACTTTTATCCTTGTCATACCCCCCAAATTTTTACCCTTTGTACAACCCTGGCCAACTGTTATCCTTGTACAACCCTGGCCAATTTTCATCCGTACATACCCTCCCCAACGTTATCCTTGTACATCCCCTGGCCAACGTCTCCTTGTACATACCCGGGCCAACTGTATCCTTGTGCAACCCTGGCCAAATTTACCCTTGTGCATACCCGGCCAACTCTTTCCTTGTGCAACCCTTCCAACTGTCATCCTGTACATCCCCGGGCCAACTTCATCCTTGTCAACCCGGCCCAAACGTCATCCTTGTACATACCCTGGCCAACTGTTACCTTTACATACCCGGCCAACTTTATCCTGTCCAACCCTGGCCAACTGTCACCTTGTACATACCCTGGCCAACTGTCCCCTTTGACATACCCGGCCCAAATTGTCATCCTTGTACATCCCTTGGCAACGTCACCTTGTACAAAACCCGGCCAACGTCATTCTGTACTCCCCCCGGCCCAACTGTCATTCTTACATACCCTGAAAAATTCCCATTCTTATACAACCCGGGCCAAACTTCACCTTGTACAACCCTGGCCAACTGTAACCTTGTAAAACCCCTGTAAACTGCATCCTTGTACATCCCTGGCAAACTGTAAACCTTGACAAAACCCTGGCCAACTGTCATCCTTGTACAACCCTGGCCAACTGTCATCCGTACATACCCTGGCGAACTGCATCCTTTACATACCCGGGCCAAACGTCACCTTTACATACCCGGGCCCAACTGTCACCGACATACCCTGGCCAACTGTCACCTTGTACTTACCCTGGCCAACTGTCATCCTGTACTCCCCTCCAAACGTCATCCTTGTACATACCCGGGGAAACTGTCTCCTTGTACATCCCCTGGCCAACGTCATCCTTGTCAACCCGGCCCAATGTCTCCTTTACTTACCCTGGCCAACTGCATCCTTGTACTTACCCGGCCAACTGCATCCTTGTACATCCCCGGCCAACTTACCCTTTGTACATCCCTGGCCAACTGCATCCTTGTACTTCCCGGGCCAACTTCATCCTTGAAACTTACTCGGGCCAACTCTAACTTTTTACAAGCTTACAAAAAAGTATTTTCTGTTTTTTCACTGACACGTTCACAGCTTACCGGGGCTGACAGTATGACAGCTGTTTAAAAAATAAGATAAGAACGTCAAAATATAAAAACGAATAAAAACACGGTACGGGGGGGATTGAACCGGGAAGGGGCTGTAAAACTGGGCCTGTGTTCACCACTGGACCAGATGGCTACAATTCATCCAACTAAGTATATTTATACCCAATAGGGAGGTTAGCATGGGTCCCACTGGACCTAGTTGGATGAATCTTATTGTAGCCAGCTGGCCAAGTGGCTTACGTACCAGTCTGGAGTTTTACATCTTACTTGCCACGAGTTCAATCATTACGATTTCGTTAGTTCTGACAAACAAGTCTCGGGGCTGGAAGAAAATATTTACTCTTGAAATAACTGGCAACAATATAGGAGGCAGAGAGTTTGCATCAACAGGGTCAAGTCTGTAAAGTAAAAGGACACAAGTGCAACTAATGTGACATTTATTGTGGCAACGTTTCGCTCTCCAGGAGCTTTATCAAGCCAGCTCCTGGAGAGCGAAACGTTGCCACAATAAATGTCACATTAGTTGCACTTGTGTCCTTTTACTTTACATATTGTCGGTAATTCTACCAACTTTATTACAGGGTCAAGTCTGAATGGCAACCGGTCACTAGTGGCGTTCCACTAGATCAGTTTTGGGTCCATCGTTGTTCGTAATTTACATTAACCTTACAGGTTCACCACTATGATTGTTTATCTTGGAGAAGCTTACCTGTTGACTGTCGAGAGAGAAGGATCTCTGGCGCTGGAAGGTGACTTCGCTGGACTTGACGACCGCTGAGTGACGTCTCTTGTAAGCAGGTTTATCCCTGGTGGCTGCTGCGTTGTCAGTAACACCAGGTACCCAGGATACCCGCCTAGTGGTCGCCTCTTTCCTCGCTTCCTTCATCTTCTCGTCTTTGTCTCTTTGCTCCCTCAGAATGTCCCTTCTGGAGTCATCTTTAATGATGCTCCTGCCCTCAATGCCTCCGGGAGACCTGGTCTTCTCTCTGTTCTTCTCCATGCTGCCTGGAGCAGTGCCTGTAGCATCGTTCCTGGCTTCGCCAGCTAACACTACTCTAGATTTATCTTCACTCACATTGGACCCATTTTTCGAAGATTTGGCAGTAACTAACTGTTTCTTAGTATCTACTCTGGCATCTGTTCTAACATCTACGTTATAATCTAACCTGTTGTCTCTCAGAAAATTAGTGGGTGTAAAAGGAGAAGGAACACTTCCAGAGGGCCAGAAGGCAGCGTCGTCAGTGGCTCCACTGCCGGCAGTAGCACCGCCATGACCAGCACTGACGATGCCACTACTACCACTGCCACTGCCCGATGACCTGGGCCCCTCTGGGACACGCGATGCCATGCGACCTTTGACCCTCTCCTCCTGCCGCATGGGGTCCCCGGCCATCACAGTCTGTTGAAGCTGTATCATTTGGTGTCGCTGGAAGGTTTGGGGTCGCAGCCGCACCTCGGGTTCAGAGTAGGGTATGGGTGGGGGTACGAAGTACAAGGAGATGAGGCTCTGGGAGAGGGTGCCCTGGGACTCCCACGGTCACCTCCTGCCAGAGGAGATGACGAGCGGGAACAGAAAGATCGCGGAGACCCTGAACGAGGCGAACACCTAGGAGAACCTCTTGGGGAAGCCCGGGGAGATGCTCTGGGAGAACACCACGAGAAGCTCTTGGGGAGCATCGGGGTGAGGGTGAACCCATAAATGAGCTGTGAGCAGTATTGAGGCTCCTTCTATCCACACTGAGCACACTAGTGGGTGACGCACGAGGGGAAAGTCTTGCTCTGGTACTCTGGACAGTACCTGGGCACCCAGCTATAATGGACCCCCCACATCCTCCCCCACGGGTACCCCACACCCACCACCCCCACTAATCATCCCCCCACGGTTAGGTTCCACACCGTAGCGCAGGAGCAGCCGTACCACATCAGCAGAACCATAATCAACAGCCAAGTGAAGAGCATTCGTGAACACTCCAGGGACCACATTGTTGTCAGTGTTGTCACTGCTGCCTTCACTGCGATGGTCGTACCTGCTGGAGAAACACGTTACAGTGGTTGTACCTGCTCGACACACATGCTACAATGGTTTTACCTGTTGAAGACACCTGTTGCAATGGTCGTACCTGCTGGAGACACATATTACAATGGTTGTACCTGTTGAAGACACCTGTTGCAATGGTCGTACCTGCTGGAGACACATATTACAATGGTTGTAACTGCTGGAGACACCTGCTACAATGGTTGTACCTGCTGGAGACACCTGCTACAATGGTTGTACCTGCTGGAGACACCTGCTACAATGGTTGTACCTGCTGGAGACACCTGCTACAATGGTTGTACCTGCTGGAGACACCTGCTACAATGGTTGTACCTGCTGGAGACACCTTTTACAACGGTTGTAGGTTTCTTCAGTCATATACAGAGGCAGAGCAGAAGTATTTGAGGGACTGACCACCTCAAATACTATAGTTTCCAAGGTTGAGGGACTGATTACAATATCTTGGCTTCACTACAACACCTGTTGCCTCTGTATCTGACTGAAGAAGTCTACTGTGTAGCCGAAACGTTTCAACAATAAAAATACCCAACTGCTGCACATGTGTCTTAATCAACAACACGGAACGTATGAGGGAGGGCTTCACGTTTCGCTCGTTTCGCTCCAGCACATGAAGATGGCCTCCGAAATATTTATTTTTAGCTTTTCCCCGTGAATATTCTCTGTGCGAGACGTTTTTGACTGTTTCCCCTAGAGGGGAGAACATTTGCTCATGTAAGCTTTATCCGGTAACAACAGCTCCCCTGGGAAACCTTGTGCCATTAAGAGCTCAATGTTGGTGAAGGTCTTGACCCAGAATGTTGATAAGGTAAGGACGGTGTGCAGACAGGGTGCAACAGAGCAGCAACGGGTGTAGCGATATCGGCAGGTATAGGGGTTTAGAGCGGGGTTTTAAAAGAATGTAGCAGACAGGGTGCAGACAGAGCAAATACAAGCGTGGAAAGTGTAACAAATTTAGACAGGGGAAACAGTAAATCAGAGTAGACAATGTTTCAGAGAAACGGGTGTAGGAGTTATCCGGTGAAACAGGGGAAGCGGGTTAGACGGGCGGGGTACGGGTTGAGGAAAACCCACCTGTCAAAAAAGGTCTGTGACTTTTTTAAGGGGGAATCCCCGGAGTCTTGGGAAACATCTGCTGCCTGTGCACACGAGGACTTGCCCAAAGTGCTGCTATGCGGTCAATCGTGGGCAAAAGTCTTAGTGGGGGGGTGGGGAAGATGTGGGTGAGTTTCCCAACACTGGTTACAAAACCGAGTGTGACTCTTGATGTTTGTGAAGATTTACTGGTAAATCTTGCAAAAAAAGTGAATTATAAGAGAGAAGACAAAGATAGAGATAGGAAGAACAGAGAGGGGAGAAAATAACACAACACACACACACCCCCAACACACACACAACACTATGATTGGCTGTCTCCTCCCTTTTTCCTGCTTGCTTTTGGGCCCAGACAGGAAACCCCGGACTCAACCGTAATGTTTTTACTTCTCTCGTCATGCCCCCCCTGTCTTTGGCCCAGCCAATTGGGGACAAGCTGCGATTTGATTGGGAAATTTGGGGCGTCCGGGCGGTGTAGTGGCCGGATGTCAACACCAGTTGTTGTAAATTGGCCCGGGATACAACAGTGGAAAAACCAGGCAGCAGCGGCGGTGTATATATACACGGAGGTGTATTTTTCTCTGTGTTATTTCCGGGAGGTGTATGTTTTCTGTATGCCCACCACACACCCCATCTAATCAACCACACCACCCCATAAATCCATCAACAAAACCCCCCCCCCGTAACCCAAAACCCACTACCCCCAAAACCCCCAAACCACCCCCATAAAGGGGACCCACTCCTCCATCAACCACACCACTACCTCTTTAAACCACCCACTACCACCCCACACCACTACCAAAACCACACACTCCCATAAACCCACCACTACCATAACCCAAACCCCCACCCTTTCAACCACCCACTCCCCATTAACAACACCACTACTCCATCAACCACACCCTACCTAAAACCACACCATACCATAAACCACCCACCCCATCAACCAAAAACCATACCATAAACCACACCATCCCATCAACCACACACCCCATTAACAAACCACTACCTCCATCAACCACACCACTACCATCAACCACACCACTACCAAAAAACCACAACTACCTCAACCACCCACTACCCCAACCCACACCACTCCTCCATAAACCACCCACTCCCTTATAAACCCACCATCCCTCATCAACCCCCCAAAAACCCCTCCATAAACCCACACCACTACTCCATAAACCACCCCCCACCTCCATAAACCCCAACCATACCCCCATCAACCCCCCTACCATAAACCACCCACACCATACCACACCACTACCATAAACCACACACCCATATCAACCACACCACCCCCATTAACAACACCATCCCTCCATAAACCACACCACTACCAAAAAACCACACCACCCATATAAACCACACCACTCCCTTAACAACCCACTACCCCCATCAACCACACCAACCCCCATCAACCACACCATCCATCAACCACCACTACCCCCAAACCACACCACTACCTCCATCAACCACACCACTAAAAACCACCACACCCCCCCTAAATCACCTACTACCTTCATCAACCAGCCCTCAACCACCTATTGATCAATCATATGTGGGCATTAATCCCCAGACAACAATACAGGGCTCCAGTCAATATTAAATATCAGTAAGAACTTTACGACCTCTCCAGATCGAGGCCCGAAATCCCAAGTTCACTTTTTTGGGGGGGGCTATAAAGACCCTTTTTAGTGGGGGAAAAATTCAGGTCTGGTGAATAAAGAGGTATGAAATACACCTTTTTCAACATTTAATTTTATCTGGTGACGAGGGAAAGCAAATACGTAGGGGCAAAGAGACACGAGCCTGGGTTTTGGTATAACTTCTACATACTATTTGTATGTATATATATAATATATATATATAATAATATTATATATATATATATAATATATATTATATATATAAATATTTATATTATATATATTTTAATATATACCACTAATTACACATACAACACACCCACACAAAAACCCCACACACACACACACAAACACACCACACACACACACACACCACACCCACACACAAAAAAAACACACCACAAACCCAAAAACACATAAACACAAACTCACACAAAACACTTCTCCGCAACTTTTTCAACCAAATAAAAGTTGGGCCCTATGTTCCTTACCTTGGGTCAAACTCCCTGGCAGGTGGAGACCAAAGAAAGTGGCAGTAAAACCAGTATTCAGAGGGAATATTTCTGCGGGGAATATTTTTATTATGTCTCTGCCTGTAAAACTGTAACACTGCACTGTAACACGTCACTGTAACACTGTAACACTTAACACGTAACCTGTCACTTAACACTGTCATGTCACTGTAACACTGTCACGTAAAAACGTAACACGTCCGTAACACGTCAGAACATGACACGAACACTGCCGCAAAACTGCACTGTAACACTGACACTGTAACATGACATGTAAAACTGAACCTGTCATGTAACTGACCTGTAACATGTAAAACCCGTCACTGTAAAACTGTAAAACTGTCACGTAACATGTAAACTGTAACACGCACTGTAACACTGTAAACCCGTCACTGTAACATGACCTGTAACAGTCACTGTACACTGCACTGAACACGCACTGTAAAACTGCACTGTAACACTGTACACTGACCTGTAACACGACACGTAACACTGACACTGTAACACTGACACTGTAACACTGTCACTGTAACATGACACTGTACATGAACTGTAACATGACCTGTAAAAACTGACACGTAACACGGGCACTGTAACACTGACACTGTAACACGTCAAGTAACCTGCACGTAACAGACACTGTAAAACGTCACTGAACATGACACTGTAAAACTGACCTGTAAAAAACTGAAGTAACACTGCCTGTAACACTGCACTGTAACATGACACTGTAACACTGACACTGTAACACTGACCTGTAACCCTGTCCTGTAACATGACACTTAACACTGACACTGTAACACGTCACTGAAATTTCACGTAACAGACCTGTAAATGACCTGTAAAACCCGACACTGAACACTACACTGTAACATAACACTGTAACACTGTCACTGTAACACTAACACGTAACACTGACACGTAAACTGACACTGTAACACTGACCTGTAACATGACACTGTAACACTGACACGTAAAACGTCACGTAACACACCTGTAAACTGACACTGAAAAACGACACGTAACACTGACCGTAACACTAACACGTAACACTAACACTGTAACACTGACAAGAACCTGACACTGTAACACTAACATGTAACACAACATGAACACTGACACTGTAACAACGCACTGTAACACTGACACTGTAACACTGTCACTGTAACAGTCACTTAA